CTGTTGGTGGTTGGTGGCATAAAAAAGCTAGGCGTACACAATTGCCCTGACACCTGGTCATGCAAGGCCTTCAGAGTGCAACAAAATGCGCCTAGTTATTTCTAGGAGTTGCTAGGCTGTCACGTGCTCAGGAACAAGTCTTCCATGAAACTCTGCTTTCAGCTGGATACCAAAGACAACTGCTGCCACTATGAAGACTCCCTGTGGGCATTGCTATCTCCAGCTGGATTACTGTACTTCTGCTGTCGTGGTCCCCTGGACAGTAGGGTACAGAAAGCACCTGGTGTGCTGTGGTTGGGCAAATAGCTCTCTTCCCACAATGTTTTCTCCTGCTCGAGCTCAGAGCAGTGCCAGATGGGAAGTGTAGGCTAAGGCAGCTATGAGTGAGTCGCTTCACTAAGGGCACTGGCACCCTCCTAATATGCTTGTCTTTGCGGTATTCTGAGACCCAATTTCCAATGTGCTGTCAGGGAAAGTTTCCCTACACAGCAATTTTTGGACACCAGTAGGTGTCTGAGAATTCAAGTTGATTCTGAGACTACACACCTGGAAATGGCATCTATTCCACAGGTTAAGGGCTCAGGAGCACAAGACTGTCCCCCACCCCAACCCCGCCACTTCAGACACCAGCTGCAAACCCAGGCTGTTACTTGGGCTTCTGACCACCTAGGTATAGACTGGAGGTTCCAATGGTCTCCTCCTTAGAAACTCCATTCAGATGCCAATCACAAGTTGTTACCTGTGTTTCTGACTGGCTACCTTCCAATGACCCCCTTCTTAGGTTCAATTAATTTGTAGAGCAGCTCATAGAATTTAGAATCATTTTACTTACTGGATCACCAGTTTATTAAAAAAGGATGTAACTCAGGAGCAGCTGGATGGGAGAGATGCACGGGGCAAGGCACAGGGAAAGGGCGCAAAGCATCCATGCCCTCTCCAGGCTTGCCCTCTCCAGGCTTGCCTGCTCCCCAAACCTCCACATTGTTTTCTACCCAGAAGCTCTTCAAACCCTGTCCTTTTGGGTTTTATGGAAGCTTCACTACACAGGTATGGTTGATTAAATCATTGGCCATCGGTGACTGAACTCAACCAGCCCCTGCCCCTGCTCCCCAGGTCAGGGGGTGGGACTGAAATTTCCAACCCTCTAATCACAAGATTGGTTCCCCAGGCAGCCAGCCCCCATACTTAGATGTAGTCCAAAAGTCAGCTCATTAACACAACCACAGATACCTCTGTTGCTCTCATCACTTAGGAAATTCCAAGGGCTTTAGGAGCTCTGTACCAGAAAAAGGGAAGCCCAAATATATATTTACAGTATCACAGTCCACCCCTTCATCTTCAAACATGGCTCCCTACAGGCAAAACAATCATAAACGTCAAAAGACACTGGCACATTACTATAATCTCATTCAATCATTAACAGCTACTCAGTCCATCATCATATCCTAAGAAAATGTCTCTCGGAGCAGTCACTCCATGCAATCTTTTCAGGTTCTGAAAGCAGGACTGGTGTCAGCAGTATATGGCTTCACCCTTTCAGGCATCATCATAATCTAGCTAAGAGACAGTATCATCTCTTGCTTTGACATTCTTTCAAAATGTTTATGTAATATTGGATTTCCCTCATTATGTAATCCAACTATTCATTCCTCTACCCTCAGCTACTAGTTTAATTCTCTCCACTTATACCCCAACTTTTCCGACTTTGGAAGGGACAATAGGTTTGGCCACTGTGCTGGTCTAGATGCAGGCAGCAGTCTTAGTCTAGCAAGTCCCCCCCCTCGGTCCATTTCTACTCAGATAAAGCAAGGTCACACAGGTGCAGAGCTAGTAGGCCATCTTTACCACCAGGCAATACAGCTGCCTTCATTGTTAGCACCAATTTTGCCAGATGGAGGGAAGGCACATCCATCCCTCATTCTGGCATAAAGGTTAAAAACAGTTCCAATTTCTTGTTTAGGAATCACCGCTGCTTCCAGCCCCTGGTCCTGTGACCATGACATCAGGTAGGAGGGAAAAAAGCTGAGTTGACAAGAAGAAAGACCACCAGTCCCTTTCCCACCTCCTCCTTCCCAGACCCACCAGGAAAAGAGGAATCTATTCAGTGGGGACACAATTTTAGCCCCGCCAAGTTCATGCTGAGTGCAAGCACACACTCGTGAAGGCGAGTAAGCCAGTCCTTCATGCCTTTATCTACCTCCCTCCCCAGCGTTTTAGACAATCAGTACTTTAATTGCCCATTCCATTCTCTGTCAAACAGGTACTCTGAGCATATCTCAGCCCATTGTTGGAAATTATAGTCTGTAAAGTGACTTCCATGGTCTAAAGAAGTGACAGTCAGTCGTCCAAAATGGCGCAATCCTTCTGATCTGGTTTTGGTAATAACCTGAGCATTTGCATCTGCCACCAGGTCAGCAGAGCCCAGGCCAGACTCTGCATCTATTCCTGTCAGGACCCATCTGCAGCCCCCAGGGCTACCAGCGGCAGTCTCACTTGTCCAGCTATGGTCAGGCATCCCCCAGGGAATCTGCCACACAGCCATCCGCAGTCTCTGTCTCACTTGTTGGCAGTCAGAGCAGCTCTTATTGGCGTTTTGTGCCTCAGAGGGTGCAGGACTATGTCTACACTCAGCCCATCTCTGCCCTGCTGACACCCCCATGTCCACTTATCTCTTGGACCCAGGTGGGACCACTGTAAGTGAGCACACAGGAATATGAGCTTGGTTGTTTGTTCCAAGCCTAGAGGGGGTTCTTCTGATGGGCACTAACATGTCCTACCTTAACGCACCTCTCAAATTTCTGCAGGGCCACGTCACACATGGGCACCCCTTTCATAGGCCAGGTATCCACTGCCCTTCTGCCAGACTATATGGCCAGGCCAACAGTCACTGCCCACAAGTCAGTAAAAACCCAAATATAAGGGCTTTTACCATTGCTCAACCCTTTCATCACTGCTGGGAAAAGAGCAGACAATTCAGGCCACCAAGGTGATTTGTTTTACCTTCTGCCAGAGTGGTGGCCTCCCAAACAGGATGCTGTCCATTCACCTTGGAACTGCCATCCACAAACCAAGCTGCTCTGTCAGTCAGTTGAGAGCAGTTTGTAGGGCACTGTCCATGTGACAGTAGAACCCAGCAGAGTCCCGCAGTTCCAGAGTCAGTGCTGGGGCAAAGAGGCTCCCTGCTCCATCCCCTGCTTGCATCCCCCAGGCAGCATGATCCTGTATGAACCATTTCCATTTACTATGAACTCTTCTGGGCCCTGCTGTGACCAAGTGAAAAAGCTGGCATCTCAGCCTTCACATTGTATCTGTCTCCTTTGCTGCTTAATCTTCGGGTCAAAAAACTTTGCCTCGGCCCTTTAGTCCTGCATGTAGGCTTGTTAATCATCAGAAGAAATTTTGCTCATGATTTAAGATTGATGCAACGAGTACCTTACCCAAAACCTGCTTCCCCCAAGGAGATAAAGAAGTATGTACAAAAATGATGACTGTATTCTCAAGGACTTACAGGAACATCATAGCCAGACACACATCAACTAAATGATTGGAGTCAACTAATCAAGGACAAGGAGTTTCAGTACCCTCCTCAGACCCTTGCTGACATTCGGGTGTTGAGGTCGACTGTCCCATCCTGACCTCAACCCCATTCTGCTCCCCCTTCCCTAAGGTAAAAGAAGCTTGTAATCAACCCTGAGTTAAGACTGTGCTTTAGGACGGTAGTCCTCCATCTTCTTGGTCTGCTGCCTTTCAGAATAGTCATTTTCCTTGCGCCAACACCTTGCCTCTCCACTTATTGGCATGTCGTGCGGTGAGTGGCATGAGCTTGGACGCGGTAACACTGCATCCCCATTAGAGCATTTCTCTGACATCAGCCAAGACAGGGTGGGTATTTCAGGTTTCAAGATCATTTTATGTCCTTCAGTCATGAGGGTAGCTGCAATTAGCATCTGAGAGCACGGCAGGAAATGCCCTCAAGCGGCAATGGTCTAGTCCACCGCCCCAGCAGTTGTGGCCAGGAGCTCACGGGCTCCCACTGTAACCCCAGCCTCCGCTCACACTGGGCTGGGCACCAGAACTTGTCCCCCAGCAAGCCGGCTTCCATTCTATGCCCCATGGCTCAGGCGATCTGACTGGCTCCCATTTAGCATGTCCAACTAACAGTGATCGAAGGGCGGAGTTACACACCTGCTTTACAATACTAGGTAGGGGAAAGGTTCCCTGGTCAGGCAGTGTCCATCTCCATAGGACAATCAGGAGAAAGAAACGCCAGCACTTCACATAAAGCTTGTTCAAGCTTACCACCTCTCCTACAAACTTTTACCTCTCACTGTATCAACTGCAGGCTCTATTAGGATTTCAGCAAAAGGGTTTGGTTTTACAATACTAAGAAGGGGAAGTGTTTCCCAGCCAGACATAATACCCACTCCCATAAAACATTCGGGTAAAGGAGGCACAACTTCTTCATGTATCAACTTAAACTTCCACACTCCCATCCACTCTTACATGCTTACATTCTCTCAATCCGATCTCAGCAGCAGACAGGGCTTCACCAATGGGTTTTGGTACCACAGTTCATTGGGGTCCCGCACCAAAGAGCCCTAGAAACTTCTCTCCACCCCGTGACCATTTACTCACTCTTGTGCTTTGAGTCCCCAGCAAGAGGTCCAGCCAAGCACCCTGGCCCTTTTGTCAATCTTCATCCTGATTAATCTGCCTGCCCCACTGCCCTGAACAGTTGCTGCTCAGATTTCTCATTGTAATTTTTGCCTTCTGGCTTTTAAACTTTCTCCAAACAGGGGTAAATAAAGCAGACTTGTGTGGGTTCCTTTCATGTTGGGGACCAGCAGAAGGCCTCTCTGGCCTGCCCAGCCTTTGGTAGTGCCGTACTAAAACCTTTGTTTTAACCCCATCAACGTGTGTTTTATTAATTCCATTTTTTTCATTTTTATTCAATTTAAACTACAAAAACAAAACAGTTCACCCACCTCTTAATAACCGTCTAAAGATTCCCACCCCGTTGGATGAGTCCCGTGAACAATCCCCTTTCTCTTTTCTCTGTTCCGCTCCTCCAATACTCACTTTATTCACCTTATTTCTTGAGCACCATTAAAAAATTTCCACCTTGTTAGGAAAAGTCCCTGGCCTCTCCCCCTACCGGGCCTCTCCAGATTCTCCTGTTGATAAACCTCCTGTTTCTATTAGCATGTGTAAGACCCAGAGGGGAAGCTGAGACAGCAAATTCGAAGGCTCCAAGAACAGTTTTTGGGTTTTGCAGCAATAAGCATATATGGGGTGCCCATGTGAAGGGGGCCCCCTTAACCACAGCACTTATGATGACCTGGGTAACGGGCATATTCAGTGGGTGAATATCTTGGTCATCACAGAATCAGTCCAAATGGCAAAGTGCATGTTCCACTGGGCATTCATGGAGGTGAAAGTCCCCTTCGGAGGACAGACAGACCTTACAGTGGCTTGTTTTCCTTACTGTGGCTTGTTTTCCTTACAGTGGCTTTTATCCAGCCCACCAGGCTGGCTCTTCCCTGGGGAACAACCTCCTGGGTGTCTGGATCACACACAGCCGGCCGTGATTGCTCCAGCCCGCCTTGGCCCAAACGTGCTCTTCCAGGCTGCACTCTTCAAAGCCAAAGACAAGGCCCCCAAGTCAGGTACTCTCACAGTCCAGGTCAGCACGGGCTCCTCAGGAAGCTGGTGACACCAATGTACGAAGTCAAACAACTCCTTCACGTACACCCCGCTGGCTTCCGTAGTTTCTTGGTTTCAACCTTCCCCTACCTGGGTTTTTTACCTTGGGGAGGTGGCTTTGAGGCTAGTGGCCGAAGGGGACCCACTGAAATCTGAGCCTGATCTAGCATTAAAGCCCAACCCAATATTCTCTTTTTAGTTTAGGCATTACAGATGACAACAGCAAAGAGATTGAATATGTTGCCTTTTTCTTATTAGTGTATGTTTCCTTATGCATCAGTAAGCCAGCTGCCCAGGAGCTGGGCACATGTTCATATGTGAGCCCAGCTCACTAGCTACTCCAGACCATGGGTGACCATGTGGACACCCAGGGAACCAAAGGTTCCTTATCCATACCCCCTGCCCCACACCCTTTCTTCCTCTCTCTTCCCCACCACATGTTTCTGTGAGCCAGGGCTGTTCTAGCAAGTCTCACTTCACTGACAATTCTTTTGGGTTCCTGGACCCAATTTCAACGTATATCTGGGGCAGAAGGTCTTCCCACACGACACCAAGCAATTCTCAGACACCAGGAAGACGTCCAAGAATTCAACTTCAATATCCTGAATAGCATCAGATTCCAGAAGTTAAGAGTTTAATCCTACAACACTGTGTCACCCTCCTCCCACCCTCCCCAGCCCCACTTCAGACCAAGTCCAGGTTGTTACCTGTGTTTCTGACCAACTGGCTACCTTCCAATGATCCCTTCCTTGCGTCCCGTTAATTTGCTAGAACAATTCACAGAACTCAGAGAAACAGTTTACTTACTAGATCACCGGTTCATTAGAAAAGGATAAAACTCAGGAGCATCCGGATGGGAGAGTTGTGGAATGGGCGCCGAGCGGGATCCACTTTGCAAATTGGAACTAGATTTTGGAGGACATATTTTTAACATCTAATGCACAGTTTAAAATATGAATTTCCTCTGGCCCAGCATTTCCACTAGTCTGTATCTACCCTAGAGAAACACTCCTAAACAGGTACAAAGACACAGAAACGTGGAGATTAGTCTTAGAATTTTGTTAATAGTGAACATAGAGCAACAGCCAAATAAACAATGGCATGTATACACTAAGGAATATCATTCAGCAGTTAAAAAAATGCAGTGGCTCTATGTGTCAATCTGGAGTGACTTCCAAGACAAACTGCCTAATAAACAAAGCAAATTGCACAGATATGTATACTATGAAATAACAAAAAAACTTGCAAAACAATGCCATATATGTTTTAAAAGCATATATATGTGGAAAGAGCATGTGTAAATGCTAACTGATAATACTGGTCACCTCTGGGGAGGAACGAACAGAAGGGAATCAGGATTGGGGATAGTGACTGAGAAAACTTAGCCTTATGCTTAGTAAGTGTATTTCAATAATGAATGCTTGTGTAATTAGAAACTAATTTTTATGAAGGGCATTTGGCTGTCTAGCAAACATTGTCAGACACGCCCCAACTTTGTCCCCTCTCCCTTATCATTTCAGAGCACACTGGCCTAAATTCCAATTGCTAGCACCTGCATTACTTTGCCTAAGGGCTTTCTCCCACCACTGGAGCCTGCTCTACAGGCTGGAGTAGGCTTTGCCATCCACCACCCATGTGACAGGCCAGAAATGCAGGGGAATAAACCCCCTGGAAGCAGCCTCAACCAATGACTGATGGGAGTCGATGTACCTCTGAGTCAGGGACCAGTCAGGAGACAGAGGCCACGCTAGTTATTTGAACAGATAGGATTTCATATAAAAAATGTTAACCAGGCATAAAGTTGTTAAATAGATATTCCAAATGGTGAAAAGAGAAGTCCAAGGTATTGCAAAGAGAGTAATCTCAGGAAGCTGCTACCACCCCCGGGGCTGGAGTGGAAAGGAAAGAGAATGAAATTATTACAATTTTGAAGTTTGGAGGAACAGCTCCCTGGGACTGGGGCCCCAGAGAAGGGAGTGCCACTCACCTCATGCTGGTGTTTCTGATGCAGGTGCGTTGAGGCCAGTTCTGTGAATGTCGGAAAGCTGCAAACTGGATTCAGCTGTAGACAGGGAAGGAGCTGCTGGCACGGAGGTGAAGAAATGGTCCTGGGGGTGTGCTGACAGGCGCAGGAAACTGACAGGAAGGAACCAGGAAGAGCAAAAGGCGTTTAAGTACCCCCTTCCTCCTCCAGCCTTGCAGTCTCCCTCTATCGCCCCCTATAGTTAGAGTCTTAACAGGGAGCAGCTGGCTGAGCAGAAACGTGGACGATAGAATCCCATCCCCAGAATCCGAAGGGAAAGCATAGAAGGGTGAGTTTGAAGCTTAACAACTGATAGCCCAAAAACATATGCACAGAGCAAGAGAGTAAGTAGCCTAATGAGCCCCAGTTTATCTACCACCGAGCTTCAATAGTTGTTACTACTTTGGCCTTCTTGCTTCATTTATTCTCCTCCATATTATTCCCCTTGCATATTTTAAAACCTATCACATAATCTCACCCATAAATACTTAAAACGGCTACGGACTTTAAGAACACAATGCCATTATCACACCTAATAAAATTAACCCTCATTCCTTGATATCATCTAATATCCATTCTGTGTTCACACTTCACTGTCTCAAAAATGGCTTTTTACAATCTTTTGAGTCAAGACCGAAACAATGTCCATCTATCGTTTTGGTTTGTCTCTTAAGTTTCTTTTAATGTATAACCCTTCCTGTCCCCTTCCCTTTTTCTTTTATATCATTTTAAAGAAACCATGTCTTTGTGTTGTATAATGTCCCATATTCTAAACTGGTTGGTTGTATCCTATTGGTGTCATTTAACATGTTCCTTCATCCCCTTTATTTTCTGGAGGTTGGTAGTAATATCTGGAACCATGGTTAGATTCAGGTTCAGTTTTTTGGGAAGGATATTTCACAGGGTGCTGTGTACTTCCATATAGCTTGCTGTAAGGCACAATGGTGATTTTTAAAAATAGAGGCACAAGTTTTAAATTGAGGTAAAATCATTAAATTGAGGTATACTTTACCTAAATAAAATGCACAAAAATTAACTGCATAGCTTCATGAATATTTACAGTTATGTAACCATGTAACCACCACTCACATCAAGATATTAAAGCATTTCCATAATTCAGACCATTCCTTCATGAAATGATTTCCAATTCTGTCACTCTTTCAGAGCTTGAATTCTTTCCCATCAATTCTGAATGCTCAGAAATACAGAAGGTCAGGGTAAGTATTTAATTTTTTCCCTTTCTTTGCCAATTTTATGATCAATGAGTTATTAATTGTATTAATCATTAACTATGATTAATAAGCAGCCTCAAAACTGTGACCAATGAAGTTTTAATTTTTGAGTCTCGTTGTGAACCCATGGAGTTTTAGAATATGTGATATATAAATATATATATCATTTTGCAGTAATTAAGCCTTTTGATGCACTAACTGTCCTATTTTGGGCCAGTGAAAACCCCTTAAAAAGTTGGTTCCTTAGTCCTTTTAATATAACTCTTGTAGCCCTTAATTTCTAGTAAGACAGGCTATTCCAGGGTCATCATTTACATTTCCAACCTCAGAATTGAAATTAGCCATTTCGCTAAGGAGTTCTGCATGTTTGTTTGTTTTAAATCACATTTAATCACCACAATCTGGATATTGAGTATATATTGCTATTATGTTGTCATTTATTTTAGGTCTTTTCCATGCACAGAGCTAAAAAAGACATATTTTTAGAAAAATAAAAATAAACTGAGTTCATACTGCTATTTCCAATCCAAATTAAAGATTGAAGGATTTTTACTTAATTTCTTTGATTTGTGTTTGCATCTCTTTTCTCTCATTAAAAAAGTCTTGGTTCTTAATGATATTAACATGATGACTTATTTGCTTTATTCTACTGTACAGATAGAATAGTGTCTGGGTAATAATACCAATATTATTGCTAACTGTTATACCACTGAATGCCATTTAATATTTATTTGCAGTTCTTTCTGTCCTTAGGATCTAGCCCACTAGGGATGTATGGTAAAAATACTGTGTTTGGAAGTCTCTTGAAATAATTATTCTCTGTGTAGATTTTACCATGAATTTGATATAGTTAGATTCATTTGTTTCAGTTTGTCTTAGGTTTTTATGGACTGCTTGTTTTTCTTTTTTATTATATTCAGTTTTTAAACTATTTAAAACAATTTTATGGCTCCATCATGTATGAGTGATCTATTGCTGCCTGACAAATTAAAGCAAACCTAGCAGCTTAAAATAACAAATATTTATTATGTCACAGTTTATGAGAGTCAGAAACTTAGCTGGGTGGATCTGGCTCAGGGTCTTCCCTGAAATACAGGTAAGATGTCAGCTGGGACTGCAGTCATCTCAAGGTTTAACTGGGGCTGGATAATCTGCTTCCAAGGTGGTTACTGGCTGAACTTAGATCCCCTCCATGCAACTGGCTTCCCCCCAGAACAAGAGATTCAAGAGAGAGAAGGAAGCCTATTGTCTCTTAGAGCCTAATCTTGAAAGTTACATTATTATCACTTCTGCCAGATTCTACTAGTCAAGACAGACCAACCCTGATACAAGGTCAGAGGGAACTTCACAAGGACCAGGAGGTGGGGATATTCTTCAGAGCCATCTTTCACACAAAGTAAAAATATAAAATGATACATTCACAAAGGTCTAACTTCCAGCTTTGTGCTTTCCACATTCCCTCCCTCCCCCTTTAGGAACCACTTTTATTCGTTCTTGCTTTATTTCTCTATTATTTTGTCTTGAGAAATATCAGGAAATATGTACCTGTATTTATAGTCCCAAAATATATTTCCCACTATATAATTTTTCTGCCCCTTGCTTTTCTTCAGTTACCACCACATCCTACAGAGCACCTTCATTAAACTCAATTATATAGACATACTATAGTTTAAATAGCATCTTAATGGATTCATCATTTATAAATTCTTTTCCAATTTTTGGATGTTTAAGTTGGTTATGATTTTCATCATTTAAATAATATTGCAATGAATATCTTTGTATATACAGGCTTTTCTGGATGTTGGATTATTATCTTAGACTATTAGACTCACAGATATAGATTTATTAAGGCAAAGGTATGAATAATTTTCATGCTCTGTGTATTGCTAAAATGGTTCACAAAAGAGCTACACTGTATTACATTTCTACCTACCATGTATTGAGTGCTCAATTTTTCTGTATTCTTATCTGAATTGGGTAGTCTAATTCTTTATAATTTTTACTATTTTGCAAGATATACTAAAGTATATTCTTATAATGGTCATATATTTTTCACATCATGCTTTAGTACTGTTAGTTTACTTCATTACTCTGTATTTCAAAGATAACTCATGAATTAAGAAAGTATAATATATCAAATATCATTTTTGCCTATTTAAATTTATTTTTCTGTATCTTCAACCTTAAGTGCATGTGGACTTACAGAATATTTTTCTGAGCTAGCAAGTATTTAATATGATATGCAAGACAATAATGTGTGCAAAAATTATAAAGTGCAATAATGATTACACAAGTCATATAAAATGCAATACAAATGATTCCAGAAATTTTTAGTACATATATTTATATATTTAAAGACAGTAAAATATTCAAGTATTTCTGTCAGATTTGAAACACCATGGCTTTATTTTCTGCTATAATAATTGTTGTTAACCCTTTTTCACTAAGAAAATATAAACTGGAGTTAGAGATCTATTATTCATGAACTACATATTCAGAAAGTGTTTTTCAAACAGCACCACCATGTTTCCCAATAAGATAGCTTACAGCATGTTTCTAAATCCACATGTCATCATTTTTCATTGGATTAATTAGCAAAAAAAATTTTTTTCTCCCTCTTTTACCTTTCTGAATAGTATTTTAAAAATATTTTTGGCACTTACATGGAGTCCAATTTATAGGTCATAAAAATATTCATTACAAAGTATTTTTGCATAGCTCTTCTGCTGCTACTGTGAATACTAATTATGAATATGTATTTAGGTATTCATAGCATGCAGCCATTTTCCTGAAATGTAACCAGACTCAACAGCAGAGCCCTTGGGGGTGGGGGTTGGGGGATCGGTAACACCAAGACCAGGGGCAAATCATTGGTCTCGTTGTTATCAATAAACAATTCTAACAAACTGGGTCAAAAAGCCCTGAAATTCTCCAGCACAGGTTAAAAGGAAACACTGTCGATCAGTATGTTCTATGACTTGACCAGCAATACAACTCAGGCCTGCTGGAATTCACCCTCACAGCACAATACCAAAACACTGCATCTTAATACTTTACAGAAAGCTGAAACAGTCCAAAGCACATTTTTTGGACCACAATGCAAAAAATTAGCAAATATGGCCAATGAAAATCAGTACAAAATGAAATTAAAACTAGGTACTTTTAAAGAATATAAAACTAATGAAAATTCCCAAGAATGTTAATATTCAATGTCAATAAGGACAGGCCTCTTCATTCACTGCTCAGGGGAAACAAATTTGTAGGGCCTTTCAAAGGTACATCTTGGTTATCTGTATCAAAAATTCTTTAAAAGGTACATTCCCTCTGCCCCGCAATTACATAAGTAGCATTTCAATCTGAAGAAATAATTGAGGCTATGGGCAGAGAAAAATTACAAGGATGTTTATTGCAGCACAGTGCATAATAGCAAAAAGCTGGAAAAAGCCCAATGTCCAGCAATATGGAGACTGTTTCAGTAAGTTATATCCATATGCAATTACTCAAAGTAATTTTGTTGAAGTCTATTTGTGGCAGGCTTTGTTACTTGCATGTCTAATATCCTTTCCCCTTTTCTTCCATGCTAACAGAACCCAGAGAAGATTCAGGGCCGCAGTGTTCACTGCTCCAGGCACAGTATCACCACAATCCTGTTCCCACTTTCCCAGTTTCCCCTTCACCTAGGGATGCACCTGTGATCTAGTGCTAGCCAATTAAATATAAGGGGCTATCTCCTGGGGACTTCTGAGAAAGTTTCTGCTTTCCTAATAAAAAGGAAACTATTGTTAATGCCAGCAATCACCTATTGCAGACCTTCTGTTAAGTGGGGCTGACTCCCACTTATTAGGCAAGGGTCAGTAGGGTTTTCTCCTATTCTGAGT